TAACCTGGCATCCCATGTACCAGCTATATTACAATTTGGTTCCAAAGATCCCATCCCCTTTGCCCTGGTTATTTGGTGAAAAGCAAAGCTCTGTCAGGGAAACCCCTATGCAGGGTTTCAGTGAGTTACCCTTCAGATTTCAGATGCCTGATTTAGTTTTTTTAAAAACAAAAATGAAAGCAAACTTGGTCTCATTTTCAGGTTAATGCTGAGGCTATTCAAAATGTTTTAATAACTTGGTTTGACAAAAAAGACAGCTTATTAAAAAAAAGAAATAAAAGAAGTCTGGAGACATTTACTGAAGCTATGTCCCTCTTTGAGTTGGGGTAGCCACGGTATAAAGATAGCTAATGCCTTTTTCCCTGCCTCAATGGCTTTTTCTCCTGGAAAACTGTCACACTGCCCAGATGGTGACAAGCCAGAGATGGAGCCTGGGCCCTGGAGACTCACCTAGTGAACGCTTGATTTTTCAAAAGGAATTTCAAAAAGGAATCAATCAAAATTACCTTAGATGAGGGAAAGGCACCTGAGTCCACTCCTGGACAAACTGAAAACCCCCAATTCGTTTTATCTTTTCTCAGTGTTCTCATTTGCTTATCTTCAATGATTTATCAGGGAGAATCACTGAGAAGTTCACTGCCAGGGGCAGAGCAAACTCTGGGCTGCCGCCATCAGCAGAGGTGTGAGCATCAAAAGGAATCATGCTTGGACCAGCTTCTCTGTCTCTTACTGTCTTAATTTTACCCTATGATCTTCAACATAGACTTAACTACCATTATGTCAATATAGGACCTTCAAAAAAGTTGTTGAAATAAAAAGAATGATAAAACGGGTCTTGAAGTGATATTTAATTATCAATATTCATAGCAGCATTATTCACAATAGCTAAAAGGTGGAAGTATCCCATGTCCATTGATAGATACATAGATAAACAAATTGTGTTATACACACACAAAGGAATACTACTCAGCCTTAAAGAAGGAAGGAAATTCTGACCCCTCTTGCAACACGATGAACGTTAAGAACATCATGCTAAATGAAATAAGCCAGTCACAAAAGGACAAATATTGCATAATTCCTCTTATATAAAGTATTTAGAGTAGTTGAATTCATAGAGACAGAAAGTGGAAAGCAGTTGCCAGAGGCTGTGGGGAAGCAGAATTCGAGAGCTAGTGTTTAATGGGTCAAGGGTTTCAGTTTGGGAAGATGAAAGAGTTCTGGTGCTGGTGCTGGTTGCAGGACCATGTGAACGGACTTTGTGCTGCTGAATTGTGTATTTTACCATGGTGAAAATGGTAAATTTGATGTTATGTGCATCCTATCACAGTTAAAATGGTTGAAGAGACATGGCATTTGGAGAGTGTGTTGGGAGGAGGTGATGGTCCCCTCGCCACTTCACCCCCTCCCAGATGCATTTGGGCAGTTGGGGTAATTTCTTCAGTTACATATTTTGTTTGCATATGAGCACTCAGTTAGTGATTTATTTTGCTGCTTTGACTTTTGAAGAAAAGAATAAAACAATTTCCTCCTTTTCGCTCACACGAAGAGCCAGGCTTTGTGTTCTCCACTTTTGTGCCCACCTCTCCCATGGAGAATGACTGGCTTTTCTGTGTTTTGAAGGCTGCTGAAAAGACAACCCCACCCGGGGCTCTATTCGGTCATTCTGGACCCTTCTAGGGAGCATTAGGAGTTACCCAAAATGGGGAAGGGTTGGAGCAGGGAGGGGGAGCCTAGGAATTTGAGATGGGTTCTTTGAAGGACTGGGAGGGGTAGTGGCCCCAATACTAAGCCTCAATATTGGGGCTAAGATCTAGCCCCAATACTAATGATTGGGCAGTTGTGGACTTGGGGGGTGCAGCCACCAATGGAAAGTTGTATTAATATCTCAAAGAAGGATCCATTGATTGCAGCAGAGGGTTTCAAGGCAGAACTTGTATCAGTGAGGAAGTGCCCATATGCCCACACTTTGGCAGCCTACGGCTTGGAGAAGTGCCCCCCAAAACGTATAGAACCAATGCTGGTGGCAGCTGCAGGTGGCAAAAGGAGCCTCATACCCAGGACAACCACAGTGGATTAAGGAGCATACACCACCTTTATTTTGGAGGACCACAGAAGCTTCCCTTTCAAGTGCCAGTCACTAGAGGGAGGGGTGGGAGCCCAGGCTTGTGGGGGGAAGGAGGGAGGAATAAGTGCTCAGCTGGATACGAATCAATGGAAAAGAAACAAAGAAGTATGTCTCTGCCTACATCTTTAACAAGTGCCTTGGAACACTTCCAGCCATCACAATTGTCCAAATTTTACTCCAAATCCAATCTGTGACTCCTATTGTCTTCTTACACCGGGGACACTTAGGAAGACGTTAACAGATGGCTGTGTGTAGCAATAGCGCTCCTTCCCCACTGCCAGGAGGGACTTTTGTCATAAATGCCTTTCTCTTTTGTCCAAAAATAATCTTTCTTCATATGAACAAAAGCAATACATTGTTTTGCCATTGTAGAAAAGTATGAAGAAGAAAATGTAAATTTCCCATAATGCTACCAGCCCAGAGACGACCACTACTAACATTTCACTGTATTTCCTTCCCGGTTTTTCCTGTGCATTGTATCACGTCGTTAGCCAGGGACGTCTTTCAGGTCCCACTGCCCTGCTGTGCTGATGAGCCTGTACTCAACCTTTCTGATCCCAGGATCTTCATGAAGTAGCAGACAGAGCCGGGAGGACCGTGTGGGACACTAGACAGAGAGAACGCTAATCTACCCATAAGGGATGCAAACACCGCCTTCTCAGCAGATTCCTCATCAACCACAGACTTGATCTGAACATAAGCAACTTAGATTATACTCAGCTGGTTCAAAATGTTTGTTGGCACTTACATGATATTTATCCATAAAAACAAGATTGTAAATGGTGGTTAGATTCGCAGGCCATAAAACCCAAGATGATGAGCAACATAGCTGAGAGGTTGTTGATAACTGTTCTGATCACAGATTCCTTCCAAATCCTTCGGAATTCCTGGTCCCTCCGAGACCCAAATCCCAGATGTCCAAGTCTTGATCCCTTGCCTGGTCTTGGGCCTCTAAACTCTCAGGGTGTGTAGATTTGGCTGGGCAAATGGCAATGGAAAACCAAAAGCAAGGGGAAAGGACTCAAGTGGGAGAGACACAACATCCCTTACAAGTCCAGCACGGCTAATTAGGGAGTCAGCATTGAAATCGTAGACTTTGGAGACACCCCTACTTGGGTTCAAATCCCAGCTCCGCCTTTGATTAGTTGTGTGAGTTTGGGCAGCTCACTGAAACGCTTTGGAATCTGTTTTCTCATCTACAAAATGGGAATAATAATAATACATATTCCTAAGGATTTACTTGAAGATTAGATAAGCCAAGACATGATTTCTCGGACTTGAGAATGCCTATATCTTATAGATTCCCACCGTTGATTTGAATTACTTAAATTAGAACATTTCCTAAATATTGACACTCTTAACAATGACAAAACTAAATGTAAGATTACAAATTTAAAAAAAATTACAAATTAAAAAGACCCCCCAAATTAGAATTAATTAGTGTGATTAATGATGTTATTTTGCCAAAATTAATTCAGCTTCCTGAAGTACTAGTTTCTAGGACATGGCTCTTTTGGGCTTGACATTCCTAACACACCATATACTGTGTGATGGTTCAACTCGCCTATGACCTTTCTCTAGACTAGACATAAATTGGAGGGCTGTAGACTGTGTGTAGCCCATGGACAGGTCTCATCTGACCCTCATAGAATTCCTTTTTTTCAATTAGTTGCTATTATAAGAGAATTAAGAATTACACATACAATCTGCCCTCCCACCTTCTCTTGAAAAGCTGGAAGATCTAGCCCCATAGGGCTGCAGAGTCTGGAGCTGAATGGCAGTCCCCTCTCGCCTGAGCTGGGCTTCCAGGTGGACCCCAACACCACCCCTGGCTGTCCTCATTTGTGTTAGCTGCCAGCCCCTGTGGTGTTTTGCATTGTGATCTCTTCTTATAGGACTTACTGAAAAGCACCTGTTCTTTCTCTACTAACTTACGGCAATTAAGGAGCGCTTCAAGACACCAGCCTGTGAGAAACACAAGAGCAAAAAAGTTCTGCTGAAATGATGATCAGTTCAGTTCTAAGGTGTCCATCCAGATGACCCGGCTAAGTTTTTTCATGTAAATGTGTTTGAAGATTATTATTGAAGTGAAAATACAAAATGTTTACATGCTCCAAGAGTATCTTTAGTTCCTCCAGGATTCCTGAACCCCTGAGCACCGATTCACTCTCAGAGCTTTCAGCCAGAGCCAACACTGCCAACACCTTGATTTCAGACTTCTAGCCCCCAGCACCATGAGAGGATAAACTTCTGTTGTTTTAAGCCACCCAGTTTGGAGAAATTTGTGAGGGCAGCCTTGGGGAACTAATCTAGTCACCTGGCATAGGATCAGACCCCAGAGAAGAATGAGCTGGATGTGACTGTCCCTGAAAGGAAAGAAACTAAAGAGAGAGAACAGTAGCCATCCCAAAATGCAGTAGGGGGGGTCCCTCCTCCCTCGTCCCTGGTGGACACGCTGGCAGATGATGACCCACTTGCCCCCAGGAGGCCGCCAGCCCCAGACCTCTGCCCTCCTCTGGCTGTTGCTTCTTCAGCATGTACTTTCCACTCCCTTACACCCCCTTGCTCCCCAGTCTCCTCTCTGTAACTTTGGAGAGAGCCATCCGAGCAAGTGCATGGCTGGGAGAGGAGGATGAGAAGCAGGGTCCAGCTCGGGAGCGGGGGAGGTCGCTGCTGGGAAGGAGGAAGGCCAACGGGGCCACGAGGCAGGTAGCCTCTGATACACCTTCGGTCCCAAGTCTGAACCAGGCCACCCCTATAGATGGCACCTAAAGGCAACGCCTTTAGGATCTAAGGTGACATCTTGTTCTGGCATAGCCAATACAAAACAAAGCTTTTTTCTTTGGAAAAAAAAAAAAAACTTTTTTCTTTGAAGGAACAAAGAAACCTAAATAAGCACTTGGATCTTCAGCAGCGCTCCGATCTTCCCCGGCCAGCGTGTTCCCACCTCGTGCATCGCTGCGGCCACGCCACGGCCACGGAGGGCATCTCAGGTGGGCTCTGACCTGCCTCCTCCTGACACCCACTTAGCCTGCTGCCGTCTGTCTGTTGTAACAGTTCTGTCTGTCCTCAGCTCTTTTGAATGAGCTGAGTGTATTTTATCAGACCTTATGTCTCCTCATCTGTTACCTTCACGCCCTTCACACTGACATGCTGTGCTCAACTTTGCAACCAAGTGTTTACTGCTGATGGCACTTTCTCCCCTATTCCCGTCCTCCCATCCCGCTGTTTGCATTGCATTAATATGCAAATGAAATGAAATGAACTGCTTCCCCTTTGGTTGAGAATTCACAGTTCTAGGGCTGGAGATGGGCTGGTTTAGTTTTTCATAGATTTTTGTAACACCAAGTTCTGCTGCTGTGTTGGAAAGTAGGAATGTTCCCAGGTGTTTGCCTGCCTTCTTTCCTTATTCTCTTCCTTCCTGTCTCCTTCCCCTTTCTCGCTCTTGCCCTTGATGGGGATCAGGACATGCTATCCCAAAATATAGTACATTGGCATTTTGAATATTTTAAGCTGAAAGAGTTTGAGAAAATGACAAAAACAAGAAGATTGTTCTGACCACCCCCTTCACAGATCTGTATTCCTATTACAAGTCATCAATGTGTACACTTAAAAAGATGCAGTTCATTATATGTAATTATACCTCAATAAAGTAGAAAGATCTAATCAATTAAATGAACAAAGGGCTTTCATGTGAATCAGGTTTATTGAAAAATTGAGCATTAGACTAAAGAAAAGCCGTATCTGGAGAAGACTATATATTAAAAGCTTTAAAAATGATTTTTGGTCCAGCATTTCCAAATCAGGGAATTGATTTTAAGGAAGTCACAATAACTTTCATCCTAATATCACTCATAAAGGACAAATTGAAGTGACCTAAATGGTTAGTAAAAGGTATTATGGCATATACATATGATATTTCACCATCCAACATGAAAATCATGTTTTGTTTAAATATTTTATTTATTTATTCATGAGAAACACACAGAGAGAGGCAGAGACATAGGCAGAGTGAGAAGGAGGCTCCCCATAAGGAGCCCAACATGGGGCTCGATCCCAGGACCCTGGGATCATGCCCTGAGCCAAGGGCCATGCTCAACCACTGAGTCACCCAGGCGTCCCGAAAGTCATGTTATTTAAGTGTATTTATTGACACAGACTTTTACAATACACTAATGAGTTGAGGGGTCAATTACCAAAACATATATATGGTATGATCCTATCTTTAAAAGAATCAGTATGTCCCTACATGCATACAAGAAATCTGGATGTAGTAGTCACATAAGTGGGTATGACAGAGACTGCTAGTTGATCCAACATAGTTCTCTCTTCCACAGTGGTAGAATTTTTGATAGGATTCGTGGCCACCCAGCTGAAGACTACATTTCTGGGGTGCCTGGGCTCAGGCAGTTAGGCATCTGCCTTCAACTCAGGTCATGATCCTGGAGTCCTGGGATCCAGCCTCACATCGGGCTCCCTGCTCAGCAGAGTCTGCTGCTCCCCCTCCCTCTGTTCCTCCCCCTAACTTATGCTCTTTCTCACTCACTTGTTCCCTCAAATAAATAACTAAAATCTAAAATAAAAAAAGAAAGACTACATTTCCCGGGGATGCCTGAGTGGCACAGTTCGTTGGGCATCCCACTCTTGGTTTTGGCTCAGCTCATGATCTCAGGGTTGTGAGTCTGCTTGAGTTTCTCTCTTCCTCTGCCTCTCTCTAAAATAAATAAATAAATCTTTTTTTTTTAAAAAAAGGACTACATTTCCCAGCCTCCATTGCAGCTAGATATGACCATATGACTGTGTTCAGGCAAATGGGATCTGAACAGAAGTGCTATTTGCAACTACAGATGATTCTCTGCAAGAGAAAGGGCATGTTCTCCCCTCTGTATTTTTCCCTTTTCCAGTGGTGGACTGAAGCAGTGGTACAGAGCCATCTTGGACCCCACACACAGGTGGAACAGCCAGGAATTTTGGAGCAAGAAGATGGAAAGAACCTCTCACAGTGTCACAGAGCAGAGCCAAATACTGACTCCAATGTTCATGTGAAAGTGAAATAAAATCTGATGCTTTTTAAGCAACTATTTCTTTAGGTCTCTGAAATGTGACTGAATCCATATCTATCCTACCCAGTGCATGTAGGGAAAAAACAAGTTAGAGAAGGGAATGATTAACAGAGAAATACAGATGATAAGTCAAATGAGGTGAGTGCTGAAAAGCATCTGCTTGGTGAAGCAATGGTGAAGTCACAGGTGACCCCAGGGACAGCACTTTCAAGGGGTGATAAGATCAAAAGCTCAGTTCTGGAAGTGAACTCCAAGTGAGGAAGGATGGACAGTAAATGTAAGCATATTGCCAAGTTTAGCTATAAAGGAGGCAATAACTAGGTAATAATTGGAGAGTGATGTAGAGATGGAGAACAATCCTGGCTCACCTCTACTGTACTCCCTCATAGCATTCTCAGAGAATGGAAACCCATCCTAACAATAATTGCTAATGTTCTCAGCCCATTTTACTTACTGGTAATTGTGTCACACTACACTTAGTGGCCGAAACTACAAAAATGTATTTATTATTTGTCAGGATTCTGGGGGATGACTGGGCTGACATGCTTGCTATAGTGTGGGCTGGAGCACTGACATGCCTGGAAGGTTCTTGGTGGACTAGAACTACATGGTTGTTTGAGCTTCCCCATGGCATGGCAGCTAGGTTCCAAGAGGAGACATTTCAAGTGTGCAAGAACACGAGTTGTTAGTATTTTCTAAGGCTCAGGCCTAAGACTAGCATGGTGTCATTTTTACCACATCCTACTGTTCAAAACTGATCACAGGGCCACCCAGATTCAAGGGGAGGGCACTCTATCAGGACGTGAATACCAGGAGGCACTGAGGATTACCGAAATAATGGTCTATCCCATGGAAATGACTCAGAGGGGAGGGAGAGATTGCAAAGGGGCAGGAGGAAACTTTGGGGGGAGATAGATATATTTCTATATTGACCATGGTGATGGTTTCACAGGCAATACATGTACCAAACTGTACCCTTTAAACCTATACAATTTATCATGTACTGATTATACGTCAATCGAGCTATTTTTTAAAAGAGAGCAATCTACTTACAGAATAGGGGGATGTTTCAATAAATTATGGTATGTCCATTAGGTGGAATCTTTCATAGCAATCACTACTGATAAGAAGAGTATGAAGGAATGCTGGGAAACGTGTATGAATGAGGACAAATGGGAAAAGTAGCATGAAATTCTGAGCACGCTGAAAATTTTGCAAAAATGTATACGTGTGGGCAAGGCTAGAACAGCTTTTGCAAGATGAAAATAACTTCATTAGGGAGGTAGAAGAACGTGGATTTTTCCCCCTTTAATTGTCGACATTTTCTGCTATGCTGCTGTATTTCCTTTATAATTCATGCCCTGATCCTTTCATTTTGCATTCATTTGCTTCTGTATATGTCTGGCCTCTTCCGCTCATACTCCGGCGATGCAGATCCTGCGTCTGTCCACAGCACTTTGCTCCTGTGTGGGCCTCTCCTGACGCAGGGACACTTGCACCGGGCTCTAGATGGGGGGCAGTGGCACTGCCTGGAGTGACGTGGCAATTCTGTGTTTGTCAGCCCTAATAACAGGCTTGCGCTCTCTCTCTCTACCTGGAGCTGTCATACAGGCTTCCAAACCCAGACAGGTTCTATTTCACAACTCCTTCCTAATTAGTCACCCTCTTCCCACTTCCCTTTTCTGCCACCGTCTTATAAAACGCGCTGGCGTGTCTGCACCACGGCCAGGCTCCCAGCTCCTGACTGCCTGGTGCAGCTGCTCGCCCCCATCTAGCAGAGCGGTGCACGGCTTCGCTCCCCGTGGCTGCAAAGTTCCCAGCTGCCCATCTATCTCTCCCCCCAGCTCCTGACATAATCTCTCTTCACCAAGAAGCTACTTGGGGAAACATGCTATTCTTTCCCAGGTGTCACACGACCACAAAGGCAATTTTCCAGAAAGATGGGCTCAGCAGGCCAGTGCCCCAAAATGGGGAGGAAAGGGCGTTGGGCCTTTTCATCATGCCACCACTGATTGGCTCCAAGTCCCTGTTGTATCTGCCCTGATGGGGCTTACTGTCCCCTGAAGGTCAGCTCTGGCCCTCCCCATGATAAGCACAGAAAGACAGCCGATGGCAGGCCAACATTTTCAGTCTCACAGGCCAAACTGCTGTCTTCATTCCCAGAGTGCTGTGTGGGCAATGGGTTCATGATAAAAGATTGCAAGCCGGAGTCGGAGAGGCACCTGCCAAGTCCCAGTCACCTGGCTACAACCAGGAGCCGGAGGGCTGGGGTGGAGGGCCACTGTGCCAAGGGAGCAGGCTGCATCCTGCTCCAGCCCCGGCTGCTGTAGGGGAGGCTCTTTGGTTGCAAGCAGCCAACCTGATGCCTGTTAAACTGGTCCTCAGGGTGGCCAGACTAAGACTCAATGCAACACACCAGAAGAGCCAGTGTGCTGTCAGACTGATTTGTCCTCAAAATGACTTTTTTGCTTTGGGCAGAAGCAAACTGCCTGTCAGTTTCCGTTGAGGGCAGCCGAGGCACGCCCAGAGAAAATGTGGGTCCTGGGCAGGTCCTGGGGCATCTGGCCTCCAAGGGCTGTCATTTTGGTCTCACTGGTCCTTGTGTGTCTACCCCCAAGCAGCCTTTCAGAACCGTCTTTGCTCATATTTTCCCCCCTACCCTTAGCCTCTCTCATTGTCTGACTCTTGATTTACGTTTGCACAAAGCTCTTGGCAGAGAGACATTTTGCAAGCTCTAGTCACCATTTAACAGTAAGAACGCCGGGTGCCGTCTGAGTGGGCGACGTCAAGGAACGTGTGAGGACGGGCTGTGTTGCAGCTGGGATCCCTCACCCCTTCTCTCTCCTCTGCTGCCTTTCCCAGAACCCCTACCAGGCAAGAAAATGCAAGCACGGGAACAGATGCACATCCACACCTCCCTCCCCGACATTCTGGAAGGAAAGGGAGTACCAAGAGGCCTTCCTTTGCAGTGTTCATGATTCATGTGATGAAAAATGCTTCCTGTCTGTGACCATTTCATTATTATGGTAAATAGACAGGATTCCAAAACAGTGGGGAAATATTATCAAGTTGGGCCCCCAATGATTTAAAATTACATTTATGCCTCATCCAGAAAGCTTTTCCTGAGGGAGGGGGTAAGAAGAAACCGGGTGACTTAAGGGAGCTAGATCACTTCTTAAGGTTAAAAAATGCTAACTATGATATGAAAAAAGGGATGGTGTTGGAAATCCCTTGGACATCCTAAGTACCGGGAATAAAGATTTTAGGTTTTATTTCCATCTTTACAGACTGAGAGACTTGATAAGACTGGACTGTCCTGAATTGCAGACCCCTGCCAGTCCCCACAAGATTATGAGGTCCTTGAAGGTAGACCCTGCCACGTGGAAAAATTTTCACAGCCCCATTAGATCGGGCTCAGTAGGGATTCAGGAACTATTTATTAATAGACAACTGTCTATATCTATTTATTAATAGACAACTGTCTACAAATTGTTGGAAAGGACCAACAATATCCATATGTGGGACGTAGGCACTTTTATTAGGACAATTAGTTATTTAATAAATGTAGGAATTGCGCATTCCCTCTATATTTCAGTCACACCAGGGGTATGAGCTGAGCCAGCGGGTGTAGCCAGGAGGGCAGCCACAGCCAAGTGAAGAGCCCCTTAGCTTCTCAGAGGGATACTATTTTCACGTATAGATTCCTGAGCGTCTGTGGGACAATGAGGACTATTTGTGCAGTTTTACAGAGACGTGGCTGCTTATATGAGCTGCATTACTCAACCGGCCTTGCTCCGAAGTCCTCAAAGACATAAGTTCAGGTGTGTTGCCCTGTCAAAGGCAGGACTGAAGGAGGCCAGTGCTGGGTGTGGGGCTGGCCTGTGACTCTCTCTCTCTGGCCAGGCTGTATGTTACTAGCACTCGTGGAACTTCTTTAACTATACCTGTTGCCCAGGTTCCTCCCTGGACCAATTAAATCAAGATCTTGGGAGCTGAGTCCAGGTATCATATTTTTAAAACTCTCTAGAGGGGTCTCAGATGGAGCCAGGGCTAGCACCTTCTGGAAAGCCATAGGGAAAAAAGAGGCACAAAGAAAGGTAAGAGGAGAGATTTTTTTTTTTTTTGCTCTCCACAGTCTCCCAGTTTGCTTGCAGCCAGCAATGCTGATCGAACTTTGATGTGTACGCAGACCACCTGGGGGTCTGGCTGAATTGCAGATTCTGATTCAGTAGGCCTGGCTGGGGCTTGAGATTCTATATTTCCACTGAGTCCCCAGATGGTACAGATGAAGCTGGTTAGCAGGCCACACGTGGACTAGCAAGGATCTAGAGCTGCAAGGTCTAGTAAGGTGGCCATGAGCCACGTGTGGCCACTGGGCACGTGAAATGTGGCCAGTCCAAGCTGTAATCTGCTGTAAGTATAAAATAAACATGATTCTGAAGCTTTGTTACGAGCAAAAAAATGTAAAACATCTCAATAGTAACTTTTATAGTGATTACATGTTGAAATGATACCATCTTAGATTTAATATATTGTCAGGTTAATTTTCCCTGTTTCTTCTTGTGATTTTTTTTTATTGTAGCTACTAGGAAATTTAAAATTACTTATTGACTTGCATCATATTTCTATTGAACAATGTTGGCCTAGAGCACTGTTCATGGCAACTGCTTAGTGACGAGAGTTTTTCAATGGGACTGGATGTGAATGCAGATGGGGGGTGGGTGGTTTCCTGTTTGGAACACAGCCTGTCACTTACTGTGTGCTCCCTAAGAGCCCTCCCTGTTCTAAGGGCTTGGTATGAATTTGCTAATGTTTGAGCGCTCACAACAGCCAGGGAGATAAGTGTTATTATTATTTCCATTTAACGGTCCGGGAATTGGAGTCAGAGATAGTGTAAGCAACTTGCCTACAGTTAGCAAG